ATAAAAATTAAAAATTAAAGTACTAAAAAATTTTTTAACTATATATTTGATTGGAAAAGAATGAAAGATAGAGAAATTTTATCCCTCAATTTTCTTTTATTTTCTTTATTTGAAATAATTAATCAATTAAGAGAAAAATAAATAATTTTTTTCCTCTCATTTCCTCTAACTTTTCTAACGATCAAATAAAAAAAAATTTTTGACACTTTCTTCCCCTTCATTTTCCACAATTCAAACGTGCAATAATTAATTTGTTCTGTCAGTAAAAAAATGCCATAAATCTCAAATTGTCTAGCTACTTGTTAAGCAATAAGCCGGAGTGGTGAGTGGAAGGAGTTTATAAAGATATTGTTAGCTAATTAACTAGTTAAGTCCGAATTCTTTGTTAATGAGAGGAAAAGATTCTAAATTTAGATTTTATAACATGTAGATAAAATAAATTAAAATTTAAGACATAATTATTTTTTAGTCCGTGGGTTAAGATAAAATAAAAAATATTAGTGATTGCGGCAGGTACATCAATGTATAGCCCATTCTTACGAAAGTGGTTACCACCAGCAGATTTGGCTGCATTGGTATTGGTGTATTAAATTTTGGTTTAATACCCAATTTGATCCCTAAACTTTCATTTCTGAACTTAGTTCGTCCTTTAACTTCAGAAAGCACCCAAAGTGTCCTTAAACTTTAATTTTCCGGAACCCAAATGGTCCTTCCGTCAACGGAATTGCATATTTGGCACGTTAAGTCTCCACCTATTACCTCTTTTAATTTTCACAAGCTTACCTGGGAAAACACCACACACACATGGCACCAATTTCATTCTACGTCACATTTCTATCTCTCTCACCTTATGGAAAAGAAGGAATCAAGTTTGATCTAGAACACTCCTGAACTGGCTCGCTTTCTTCTTCCAGATCTTCACCCAAATCCTCAGGTCGGTGGGTCACCATCAGCTTCTGTCCTCGTCGTCATCTTCAACCACCGTTTCAAGCCCTTGCCCGTCGTTGACTCACAGAAGATCGAGTCTCCTTTGGTGGTTGAGATCGTCACCGTTTTCAACTCCATCACCACCGTTACCGAGGAGAAAATCGAGAAACTCATGGTAAGGATGGAATCCTTTAAAGAAAAAATTCTGAAGTCCGACTATTGGAAATTGGATAGGAGATGAACATATTAATGATTTGATATCTTTCATAGCTTTCATCAACAATTTCAGAACGCAAATGCTATACAACGGTCAAGAATTCAGTAAGAATACTGCATTTCAGCAACAAAGCTAGTATGGATTGTACAAGGAATGGAAGAATAGTACGCTGCAACTACAACTTATCGTAGACTTTCCAAGTAGAAGCAGGGATACCCTGTTTTTGAAACCATTCAGGCATGTGATACCCTGTTTTTGAAACTATTCAGGCATGTGATGTAATGTAAGGAACCTTGTTTGAAGACATGTATTCAAGTTCAAACCACTTCAATCCAGCTTCTGTTGCTTGATTACGAAGAGCAAGAGGCAGAGTAGAGGTCTCATATGCACATACTAGAGTTTCATCCAAGTCAAGAACTACCTATAGGTGCACACATCTTAGACCCAACTCAAAATATTGTCAAGCAATGGTTGGCATATGTTGGGGAAAGCAAAAATTCCAAACCAAAATGCTTATAACACTTTATCTAACGCAATCTAGGTTGGCATGCTTTTGGCTAACGACTTTTATGCTTATTAACAGAACAGAACAGAACTTCCACATCTGAATTCCAAGCACATGACATTACAAATTCTATGGTTCTATTCACTCCAAATCTAGTCCAAAAGTACACTCATAATCTCTAAATTTCCAAAGTATAATTAGCACAACTTTAAATGAAGCCCGCTCTCCACATTTTGAACATCTATGCAAATAGCAGAATTCAGTTTGAAGTCTATGCAATTATGGGATTGAGATACATAAGCACACATATAGTAACACGACTTTGAATTCATGCATATTCTTAGCTAATTACGTTAAGCCAAGTACCAATATAAATAAAATAAAACATTTCTCCTAGAATCTCCAATAAAGCTGAATTCTTTAACCTAAATTTGCCCCATAATTTCAGGTAGAAATGGCTCTTAAAAATCAAAACAACACAGAAGAACCATTTTTTCCATCACGTAATTAACTGGGAACATTTTCATATGGCGTAATTAAATTATTTAAAGGATTCCATCCTTACCATGAGTTTCTTGATTTTCTCCTCGTAATGGTGGTGGCGGAGTCGAAAACGGCGACGATCTCAACCACCAAAGGAGACTCGGTCTCCGGCGAGTCAACGATGGGAAAGGGCTTGAAACGGTGTGCTGAAGAAGACGACGAGGATAGAAGCGGATGGTGACGCACCGACCTGAGGATCTGGGTGAAGATTTGGAAGAAGAAAGCGAGCGCGCTAAAGAAGATGACGATGACGACAAGGACAGAAGTGGATGGTGACCCACCAACCTGAGGATCTGGGTGAAGATCTGGAAGAAGCGAGCGAGCCAGTTCAGGAGTGTTCCAGATCAAACTTGATTCCTTCCTTTTCCCAAGGTGGGAGAGACAGGAATGTGACGTGGAATGAAATTGGTGGCATGTGTGTGTGGTGTTTTTTCCACGTAAGCTTGTGAAACTTAAAAGAGGTAATTGGTGGAGACTTAACGTGCCAAATATGCAATTCCGTCACAGAAGGACCATTTCGGTTCCGGAGAATTAAAGTTTAAGGATGCTTTGGGTGCTTTCTGAAGTTAAAGGACGAACTAAGTTCAGAAATAAAAGTTTAGGGACCAAATTGGGTATTAAACCTTAAATTTTTGACAAATGTTAAGATTCTAACTGTTACATTAGTTGTCTTTTTATTTCCTTTACCCTAATTGCCTTTTGTTAAAAAAAAAAAAAACATGCTTAAAGCTAGACATAAAATTGCTTAGGCAACAAAGGTTATCTTATTTTTAATAAATAATTAGTTATAATATTTAAAACAATTAATGTGTAGATTAATTTTAATTTATTAAGTAATAAATATTAATTAT